AAGTAGATTGCACCATCTTCCTTCCAAGGAGTGGCTGGTGGGTTTGAACCCCAGCCTTCTGGTTAGCAGTCAAGTGCCTTAGGCACTACACTACCAGAGCTAATTTCTCAGGGACCACACAGCTGCCATTGGGATTAAAATCCACTGGAGATAAAAACTGCTTCTACAAGAAGGACCCTGGGCTCCCCAGTTTAACACAGGCCCTGTCTAACCCACTTCATTCACTTATTTTATGAAACTAAACCCTAAAGTCATGGGGAGTTGATTATGACCTCTACCAGCCACCCTCTACCCATTTCACAGAAGGGAAAACTAAGGTCCAGAGAGTCACATGGCATACTTAAGGTTTCACAGTTAGTTGGCTGCAAAACAAAGACAAAAAACTGGATGTGGTGTCCCTTCCAGCCCAGTATTTTCCCCTAATGTAGGTGTAAGTTATTTCTAGGGTTCAACTTCATTTGCCAATAAAATCTATGAAAGGTGTCTGTGGCCATCAGAACTTTAGGTTACGTGAAGGAGGAGAAGAAAGAGGAAGGTAGAAGGGGATAGAGAGGAAGGAGGGCAGGAAGGCAGGCAGGAAAGAAAGAAGAGAGCAGGTAGGCCTGACCTGAAATCTAGCTTTGTCACCCCAAAATCACTTAGCAACTACTGTAGCTCAAAAATAAGTAAATAAAAACTGTATCTCCATCCATGGGAACTCCTACCAATGTTTTTTTTCAGCCCTGATAATTAGTACCCAAAGGGGCAAACTGCTGCTCTGTGTTCACAAGAAGCCATGAGGAATTCAGGAACAGGTTTAGTGGGAGTGTGGAGGTGGATGGCATGCTAATAATTAAAACGTTTACTTGATTAAAAATAAAGCATCCCTCTAAAAAAAAAAAAAATTAGGGACCTGTGTCTTTAGAACTGTACTCTTAAAAGTCTACCAAATCACATTTAGATTTCCTGCTGAGGGAAGAAAAAGCGATCACGACTCAGATAATTTGGCTTTGCCTCATGGAAAATCCTAGAGGAGGGTGGGTAATGTTCACATCCCAATAATAACAAGGAATTGGATTGTGTGTGTGTATGTGTGTGCTGACACTAACTTCATTTTGGCCTAAGAAAAAAAAAATAAAACAATACTGATGCTAACCAACAGTATAAAACTCCTCCATGGTTATCTACCTACCTAATTTTCCTGTAAGTATGATAGAAATTGAGGATGTTATGAAATCTATAGATATTGGTCTCCATCTCTTTACTTTTAAATGTTTTTTTGCTGGGGCGAAGCAGGTGAAACTTTTGGGGGAGGAAAACAAAGTCAAGCAAAACCCACATACCAAAAAAAAAAAAAAAAAACCCAGCCACATGGCACCTTCCCCATCACAAAACTATGAAAACTGCCAGCTGTGGAGAGAGAATGCTTTGCACCCTTCACTGCAGACAAGCCTTCTGCCTTACAGAGAGGGAAGCTGGCTGGAGACGTCATCAGCATTTATTGGGCTAGAGACATCGTCAGCATTTATTGCCTCCTCAGGGACCACAGAGCTGCCAGCTCCTGTGTCTTGGTTCTGGCCCAGCACATTCATTCCCCAGTTGGGCTCCAACCACTGAGAAACTCCCATCCTAATCACATTGCCACCAGTTCATTAAGCACTCACTGTGTGCCGATACATGCACTACTTTGTTGGAATCTCACGGCCCTGTGGGCAGAAATTCATGCCCGTGGTTGCCTTGTAAAGAGAAATAATCAGGGGCTTTGAGAGGCTTATCACCACTTGGTCAGTGAACTCACAGCAAAGCTGAGAACCAACTCTAAATCCATCTGGTTCCAAGCTTAATCATTCCCTCCTTAGACACTGAGTACCTCCCCACATGTTACTTCTTATCTTTCTATGTGACACAGGGAAAGCTTCCACGGGTACCAAGCACTCAACATGCCTCACAACAAGCTCCTTTTAGTACCTGCCTTAGTGAATTGCCTTTGGGTTGCACCAACTTGTCTCACTCCACATTAGGGTTTCTCAACCTTAACACTATTGACAGTTTGGGTTGAATAATTCTTAGTGCTGCCGTGTACATTGTTGAATAGTTAGCAGCATCCCTGGCCTCTACTCAGTAAATACCAACAGCACTCCTAAAGCTCTGATAGCAAAAATTTCTGCAGACATTGCCACCTGTTCCATGGGGACAACATTACTCCCAGTTGAGAACTACTGCTCTACAGTTACCATTTATCAAGCACTTTTTGGTGGTTAAGTATGTAGATTCTAGAGGTGGACTATCTGATTTGAACCTGAACATTGACACTAGCTGAATGACTTTAGCTTCTTTGTGCTTCCATTTTCTTCTCTATAAAATAGACATGAAGATGGTCCCTGCCTCGTAGGGTTATGTTAAGATTAAAGAAGTTAACAATTAAACAAAGCAAGGCATGTAACAGTTAGCTAGCTCTACGTGTGTGGCGTGTGGCCTGATGATGGCTGTGATGTGATGCTGAGTCTTACTATGTGGTAAGCATTTTGCAAATATCACCCAATTTTCTCCCCAAAGAAATTCCAAAAGAACTCAGGATCATCTTTGTTTTACAGTAAAAAAGTTAAGACTCAAGGAGGTTAAATTTTTATAGACTTTCCCAAGGATATGTAATCAAACAACTGAGTCAGAATTCATCTGACCCCAAAGTTTATATGTTTCAGAATATTCTCATTTCCATAGAAGAAAGCCAAGGGACAGATAGATAGACATGAGCCCTCTTTGTTCAGATACCTCTTCTGCAGGCAGTCCTCACCTCGCTGGTGAAGAGTGTGCAATGACTCAAGTTTGGGGGGGGGGTGACACAGGGAGTGGTTTGTGCACAGGGAATACAGTTTCTTCTGTCCATAGTAGGACAATGAAAATTTCTTAGCATCACTTCAACAGTGATTTGTAGGTACAAGCTGGAACCACTGGCTACA